GAGGGCTGGAGCTGCAGCCATGACTATGGTGCAAGTCTGAGTCACTTCAGCTACATTTAAAAAAAAATCACCGTGAGCAGGCACGATGGCTCACACCTGTAATCCCAGCACTTTGGGAGGCTGAGGCAGGCCTGACCAGCCTCACCAACATGGAGAAACCCCATCTCTACTAAAAATTAGCCAGATGTGGTGACGAACGCCTGGAATCCCAGCTACTCTGGAGGCTGAGGCAGGAGAATCGCTTGAACCTGGGAGGCGGAGGTTGCAATGAGCGGAGATCATGTCACTGCACTCCAGCCTAGGCAACCAGAGTGAAACTCCATCTCCAAAAAAAAAAAAAAAAAAAAAAAATCACCGTGCATTTATTTCCCCGTCACTGGCTACAGAAAGCCTAGCAATGCTCCCAAAAGTCAGGAACTAGCAGCGAGGCAGGGCCATTTCCTCCTCTCTCTAAGCCTCCTCTGATGTTAGGGACAATCAGCCAGCGTAAAGAGCTTGGTTTCTGATCCTCAGGAAATGCCAAGAAGGGCTCTGGACTAAGCCACAGGATGGCTTTTGACAGGGCAGTGCCTCTGCTCAGGGTTGTAGAATGGGGATAGGAAGAACTTTCACTTTCGTGTGTCAAAGAAAATATAATAAAGTAAAAAGGTTTGAAGATATAGCTCAGTGACTTTTTTTTTTTTTTGAGATGGAGTCTTGCTCTGTCGCCGAGGCTGGAGTGCAGTGGTGCGGTCCTGGCTCACTGCAACCTCCACTTCCTGGGTTCAAGCGATTCTCCTGCCTTAGCCTCCTGAATTGCTGGGATTATGGGCGCACCATGCCTGGCTAATTTTTATATTTTTGGTAGAGACAAGGTTTTACTGTGTTGGCCAGGCTGGTCTCAAACTCCTGACCTCAAGTGATCCGCCTGTATTGGTCTCACAATGTGCTGGGATTACAGGCGTGAGCCATCGGGTCCAGTCCATCTCAGTGACTTTTGACATATGTATCCACTTGGGTAATGACCAGCCAGGACAAGATGTAAAATGTTTCCAGGGGCTTCTCTTATCCTCACTGGTATGGGTACACTGCTGTGGGTCCTGTGGGCCTCAGGACCAGGCCACAGTGAGTGTCCCCCAGCCCCCAGCCCTGTACACACGCCATTCCTGTCCTCCACCCTCTGCAGGCAGGGGACACCAAGCCCATCTCACAGGCAAAGAAATGGAAGCTCCGAGAGAAGTGACACCACCATCACCGTGACCCCAAAAACCACAACAGCAGCCCTTGGCCAAGGGCAGATTCCTGGAACGTCTTGGCCAAATATCAGAGATTGTGCCCTCCTTGGCAGGCCCTGGCTTAGCAGGTTCATTTCAGTAGACAGTGAGGAAAAGATTCCTACCTTGAGGTCATGCCCATCAGTAATAGTTCCCCTACAGAGTCTCTCTTATTTCCTTTTTTCATTTTTTGAGATGGGACAGAGTTTCCCTCTTGTTGCCCAGACTGGAGTGCAATGGGGTGATCTCAGCTCACCGCAACCTCCGCCTGCCAGATTCAAGCGATTCTCCTACCTCTGCCTCCTGAGTAGCTGGGATTACAGGCATGTGCCACCATGCCCCGGTAATTTTGTATTTTTAGTAGAGATGGGGTTTCTTCACGTTGATCGGGCTGGTCTCGAACTCCCAGCCTCAAGTGATTCACCTGCCTTGGCCTCCCAAAGTGATGGGATTACAGACATAAGCCACAGTGCCTGGCCAAGTCTCTCTGATTTTTGGCTCAAGGAGCAAGAGCTGATCGTCTGCTCTTTGCCCCACGCTGGTTTTCCCAGCCTCTGCTTTCTATCTTGTTATTTCAGAAGACCAAGCAGGGAAGAGCCAGGGAGGCCCTAGTCCAGGGAGGATTACCAAAGGGCCCCTCTTGGGCTGTGTCTGGTCCATGATTCTGGGGGTGGTGCAGCCACCCCAACTTCATAACTGAACTTTTTGACAAGGAAGGTAGCTACCTGCAGGGGTTTCCTCGGGCTGGGGGCGAGAGAGGCAGATGTCTTCCTTCTTCGACAGAAATATCAGCAAGAAACGGGCTTGCACAGCTCCTCTGACATACAACAGAGATAAAACGTGTCTCAGGACATCTCGTACATTCCATGTCCCGTCCCTGATGGTATGGTGACCTATCATTTATCTTGTGGGATTGGGACAGCCTGGCCTGGCAGTTCCCCACGCTTTAGAACCATGGGAGCCAGTTTATCAAGCACATCTTTTGTTCGGATGAAGGACTGCTTGGCACACAGCAAATGGGCCAGGAGCCACCCCCACCTGGCTCCCACCCGCTTCCCCCAGCAGCAAGGGCAGGGTTTTCTGTGACTCTTTCTTCTGACAACCTTGCTAGGGAGGGATCATTATTCCCTTTGAGCAGGAGGAACCTGAAGCTCAGAGGCTGATACTGAACGGAGGGCTACCTGCGTGCCAGGGGCTTCATGATTATGACTATGATATGATTATGATAATGATAGACAAGACTCCTTTTAGCTCCCGCAACTGTGGTGGTTAGTCACTTAGGGTCAGCTACATTTTACAGCTGAGGAAACTAGTTCAGAGGGGGAAAACTGTCTGCCTAAGGCCACAGAGCCGTAGCTGAGGGCTGGCTTTGGGATTCGAAGCCGGCTAAATCTGGCTCTGGTTAATCTTTCCTTTGATCTCTGGGGCTTTGGGGCATAGGTTGGACTGACACAGTTGTCCCTCTGAGCAGGTGTGGTCCCTAAGCACCCAGTCAAGCCCAAGAGTGCAGCAGGCACGGGAGACTGGCTTTTCCCCTTCCCTTTTGCCCTGCTCCCCCAGCGTACGTCTCAGCAAAGCCAAAGCGTTGGCAAAAATAAATGAGCAAGAACCGTGTACAAGATCCCTGCCCGTGTAGAGGTCCTGCCCAGAACCTGGGGAAGGGGCACAATGCAGCAAGGTGAGGATTTTTTTGAGATGGAGCCTTGCTCTGTCGCCCGGGCTGGAGTACAGTGTCATGATCTCGGCTTCCTACAACCTCCATCTCCCAGGTTGAAGCGATTCTCCCGCCTCAGCCTCCTGAGTAGCTGGGATTACAGGTGTCTGCCACCACGTCTGGCTAATTTTTGCATTTTTAATAGAGAGGGGGTTTCTCCATGTTGGCCAGGCTGGTCTGGAACTTCTGATCTCAGGTGATCCACTCCCCTTGGCCTCTCAAAGTGCTGGGATTACAGGGGTGAGCCAACATGCCTGGCCACGGTGAGGATTTTGAGGTGAGGGATTTAAAGAGTCTTAGGACACAAACCATTGGTGCTGCTTTCTTTTTTGAGACAGGGTCTTGCTCTGTCACCCAGGCTAGAGTGCAGTGGAGAGATCATGGCTCACTGCAGCCTCAGCCTTCCAGATTCAGGTGATCCTCCCATTTCAGCCTCCAGAGTAGCTGGGACTACAGGCCAGCACCACCATGCCCAGCTAATTTTTAAATTTGTTTATAGAGATGGAGTCTCCCTATGTTGCCCAGGATGGTCTCAAGCTCCTGAGTACAAGCAATCTGCCCACCTTGGCCTCCCAAAACGCTAGGACGACAGATGTGAGCCACCACACCTGGTCCATTGAGGATTTCTATCAAAGAGTCGAGGGGTCTTTCGGGGAGATCTTGTGATGAAGAATCAAACCGTTTGCCTGGGGAAAGAGTCCCAGAAAAGTCAAGTGACGGTCAGGAAGTCAGTGGAGCCATGTGCTGGTGCCCCCTCCCTGCTATAGCAAATCGCCACAGACTTAATGGCTTGGAACAACACAGCTTCATTCTCTGTGTTGGTCTGTCATCCAGGCTAGAGTGCGGTGGGGAAATCCTCTGGCAGATGAAGCCTGAAGTGGACCTCACAGAGTTAAAATCGAAGTGTGGGCAGGGCTGCATTCTGTCTGGAGGCTCTGGAGAGAGTTCATTTCGTCCTCTTTTCCAGTTTCTTTTCTTTTTTTGAGACGGAATCTCACTCTGTCGCCAGGCTGGAGTACAGTGGCACGATCTCGGCTCACTGCAACCTCCGCCTCCCGGGTTCAAGCGATTCTCCTGCCTCAGCCTCCTGAGTAGCTGGGACTACAGGTGCTCACCACCACACCCGGCTAATTTTTGTATTTTTAGTAGAGATGGGGTTTCATCATGTTGGCCAGGATGGTCTTGATTTCCTGACCTCGTGATCCACCCGCTTCGGCCCTCAAAGTGCTGGGATTACAGGCGTGAGTCACTGAGCCCGGCCCCCTTTTCCAGTTTCTAGAGGCCACTGGTATTTCTTGGGCCATGATCTTCATTTTCAAGGCCAGCAGGGTAGCATCTCTCCTGTCTGACTCCTGCACTGTCCTTTCATCGCCTCTCTTAATTCTGTGTCTGTTTTTACATATTTTCTCTAATTCTACTGCCTCCCTCGTGGAAGGGCCCCTCTGATTATACTGGGCTCACCCAGATAAAGTAGGATCATCTCTCCCATCTCAAGATCCTTACTAAATACCGTCCAAAAAGTCCCTTTTGCCACAGAAAGTCACAGTCATGGGTTCGAGGGATTGGCACGTGGATGTTGATGGGGATGGAGGGGGTTCTTCAGCCTGCCATAGATGGCAAAGTCATGTCCCTGCAGATGTGGCTGCAGCTCCAGTGTCCAGGCTGAATGAGGGGCGCGTGGCGTGGTTCTCATGCCTGCCACCTACCCTGACCCTGCGGGAGGTGAGCAGGAAGCAGTGATACTCACCGTGTGCGGAGGTCCCCTAGAAGGCAGGCACCACCACACGCTCCCATACTACAGACAAGGAAGCAGCTTTGAAACAGATTTGGAAGTGATGATTTGCCAGGGAGGAGGGCTCCAGAGCCCGGGACTGGGTCCGGGACACACCGGGGCTCTCTACTTCTTGGAGCTCCAGGGACTGCTTTTGTTTCTTTTCACAGAAGGGGGCCCTGCGACGGCTGTCGTGGGGCGGGGCTTTGGCCGTGCTGGCTGCAAAAGGCTCTCCGCCCACTTTGCTTTCCCCACAGGCGGCCGAGCTGATCACACCCACAGTTGAACTGCGCTGGCCAGAGATGCCTGCCCACAGCCTGGCGATGAGCAGCCCGGCCCTCCCGGCCTTCCTGCTTTGCAGCACGCTGCTGGTCATCAAGATGTATGTGGTGGCCATCATCACGGGCCAAGTGAGGCTGCGGAAGAAGGTACGTGCCACCCTGGGGGCCCTGGCCAGGTCGTCCTTGCTTCCCTCGATGCCCTGCCAGGAAAGCCCTGGGATCGGAAACATGGCCAAGGTGTGTGCAGTGCTTGGAGCTGGGTACCTCTTCTAGCCCCCCGGGTGCCTCCCTGCCAGCCCCGTGGGTCAGCAAGGCCTGCACCTTCTCCTCTCTGGCTCAAAAGCACGTACTTACTCACTTGCCGTGCCACCAGGCTGAGTTCTTGGCCCGGGGAGAGCCGGCGAGTGTCTCTGAGAGAAGCAGGTTCCGGAGGGTGGAGTGTGGGAGCGTGACAGCACAAAGCCTGGTGGCTTCCCGGCACGGGAGATCTGATATCTGGGTGGAGTGGGAACCGGCAAAACAAGAGTCCAAGAAACATTTAAGTGGAAATTCCCAACTCCCGGCAGATGTCACTGACAAACCCACTGCAGCCTCCCAAGGCCAGCTCTCGGCCGGGCACCATCGGGGTGTTCAGGGAGGAATTTCCCCACTAATCCGAGCCCCTGAACCAAAACAACAATAAGGAGTCCCAGAGCTGGACCCGGCCCCTTGTTTAAAAAAAAAAGTTCCAGCGGCGTCTGCCGCACTGGATGGTGAGTCTGAAAAGTCACAGGCTGAGCCCGTCGGCTGTCCTGGTGGCAGAATGCAGAAAGGGCCCGGGCACCTGTTGCTTCCTCCCCGGGTGTTTTACTAGAGCAATGATTTCCTGGAACTGCCTCTGTCTTCCACTGTGTCCAGTTCAAAGGTGAGATGAGGCTGGCTCTGGCACCGCATGCGGGTGGATCCTGGGGAATGAGGATCTTGGCTGAGAGCCAGGCTCAGGTCCTGCTGCAGGTACAGGCAGGATTAAAGGCAGGGCAGCTGCCCAAGTGATAGGATGCCTGGAGGCCACGGCACGCCGATGGCTTCTGAATTCTCCCTGCCTTGGCTGGTCCTGGGCTGTGGGATCTGGGCATCAAGCAGAACAGCTGCATTCACTCACTGAATCCTTCCCAGAGGATGAACGTGGCCCGGAGCTGAGCATGAGATCCTCACCACAGCCCTGGGGAGCCGGGGAGGCACCGTGGTCATCTCGTCTTCTAGGAGAGGAGCTGGGGCTCAGAGAGGAGACATCACTTGTGAAGCTCACACAGCTGGGTCTGAAATCTAGTGTCCAGCTTCGGAGCCCACATCCTGTCTTGGAGGCTGGGGTTCCTTTTTTGTTTTTTTGTTTTTTTTGAGACAGAGTCTCACTCTGTTATCCAGTCTGGAGTGCTGTGGTGAGATCTCAGCTCAGTGCAACCTCCGCCTCCCGGGTTCAAGTAATTCTCCTGCCTCAGCCTCCCAAGTAGCTGGGATTTCAGGTGTGCAACACCATACCAAGCTAATTTTTGTATTTTTAGTAAGAGACAGGGTTTCACTATATTGGCCAGGCTGGTCTCAAACTCCTGACCTTGTGATCCGCCCATCTTGGCCTCCCAAAGTGCTAGGATTACAGGCTTGAGTCACTGTGCCAGGCCCCTTAAAAAAAATACATATATATATATATATATATATATATATATAATTTATTTATTTTAGAGACAGGGTCTTGCTCAGTGTCCCAGGCTGGAGTACAGTCGTGCCATCATAGCTCACTGTAGCCTCAACTTCTCGGGCTCAGGTGATCTTCCCACTTTAGCCTCCCAGGTAACTGGGACTATAGGTGTGCGTCACCATGCCCGGCTAATTTTTTATTTTTATTTTTGGTAGAGGTGGGGTTTTGCCAGGTTGCAGGCCTGTCTCGAATTCCTGGGCTCAAGTGATCCTCCCATTTTGGCCTCTCAGAGGGCTGGCATTACAGGTGTGAGCCACTGCACCCAGCCACAATTTCCATTTTTTTTTTTTTTTTTTTTTTTTGAGACGGAGTCTCGATTCTGTTGCATAGGCTGGAGTGCAATGGCGCAATCTTGGCTCACTGCAACTTCCCCCTCCCGGGTTCAAGCGATTCTCCTTCCTTAGCTTCCTGAGTAGCTAGGATTACAGGCGTGTGCCACCACACCAGGCTAATTTTTGCATTTTTAGTAGAGAGAGTTTTGCCATGTTGGCCAGGCTGGTCTCGAACTCCTGACCTCAGGTGATCCACCCACCTTGGCCTCCCAAAGTGCTAGGATTATAGGCGTGAATTGCCGTGCCTGGCCGATGATTTCCCTTTAACATGAATTCAGGGAGGGGAGGAAGCAAGCCTGTCCCAGGGCCTTTCTGCCTGATTGGTAGGGACACCACGGAAGGAAACCCCCGCTCCTTGGGCTGACCCTGAGGTGTTCCTCATGACAACGTGGTCCCCTCTCTGCTCTGGGCACTCAGTGTCATCCGGGAAGGACTTGGTGGAGGTGACAGTTGCACACCCTGGCTTCTCCGCCCACCTGGGGACCTGGGCAAGTCTGGGAGCTCAGGGTCCTCATCTATAAATGGGGTCATGACAGGAGTGCCAGGAGAATGCAAAGCCTCACCAATGTTTCTTCTTAAGACTTTTAAGTGCTGGGCACAGTGGCTCACTCCTGTAATCCCAGCACTTTGGGAGGCCAAGGTGGGTGGATCACGAGATCAGGAGTTCAAGACCAGCCTGGCCAATGTGGTGAAACCTCGTCTCTACTAAAAATACCAAAATTAGCTGGACATGGTGGTGCCTTCCTGTAATCCCAGCTAGCTGGGAGGCTGAGGCAAGAGAATTTGCTTGAACCTGGACCCAGGAGGTGGAGATTGCAGCGAGTGGAGATTGCACCACTGTACTGCAGCCTGGGCTACAGAGCGAGACTCTGTCTAAAAAAAAAAAAAAAAAAAAAAAAAAGACTTCCAGGCCGGGTGTGGTAGCTCACACCTGTAATTCCAGTACTTTGGGAAGCCGAGGCAGCTAGATCACTAAGTCAGGAGTTCAAGACCAGCCTGGCCAAGATGGTGGAACCCCATCTCTACTAAAAACACAAAAAATTAGCCGGGCGTGGTAATGCGCGACTGTAACTCGGGAGACAGACCAGACAGACAGAGAATTGCTTGAACCTGTAGGTGGAGGTTGCAGTGAACCAAGATTGTGCCAGTGCACTCCAGCCTGGGCGACAGAAGGAGACTCCCTCTCAAAAAAAAAAAAAAAAAAAAGACTTATAAGTAACTGAAATTAACATGGGTACAGCAGCCTCAGGTCACTTTCAAGGGAGCACGATCAAAGGCTTGCCTCCTCCCTAGCTCGGCCTGTGACCCGGAGGCCTCCTGGTTTGCGCCGCAGCTGGCTCTGGCCTGGTTGACTGGTATTCAAGTTCTATCTGCAGAGGGACCAACCCCATGGGCAGTAGACTCCTAAGGCAGTTATTTTGTGATGGTCATTTCAGTGTGGAGCTGAAGCAGGAGCGGTCGCAAGAAACAGACCTCTGGAACACCGAACTGGGAAGGAAGGGATGATTTATTTGGCCGGGAGCAAGGTGGCATAGTTGCCTAACAGCCAAGCTCGTCTATCAGAGAAAACTTCTGCCTTTAAACAGGCTCACGACTCTAGATATGACATGTGAAAGGGCCTTGGATTTACAGTTTTAGAAAGTACGTGTGAGGGGGTCCTGATCGATGAAGTACCCGTGGGGGTTTGACAAGACCAAATGGGAACAATAGAGGGCATTTTTCCATATCACCTCCACCTTTCGGATCGCCTGAGATTTTAACGGTGGGGGGCACTTAATCTTTAACCTCCAGGCCACTGACCTCATGCCTGCTATGTCTCAACTTTTACTTTCTCCTTCTTTGTCTCAAAAGTCTGTGAGGGGTTTCTTTCCTCAGAGCAAGTCCTCAGAAGCCTACTCTTTGAGTTAGGCAGTCAACCCTGGCTTGTGTCTTCTTTTTGAAATAAGGACTTTGTTTTAACTGGGCCTTAGGATGGCCCTATTCCATGTTCTGGTAAAGGCAGAAATGCAGGCCAGGAGCCAGACTTCCAACAGGGGAAAGAGTGGATCCTACACACTGCAGACAAAAGCCCCTTTTTTGAGATGGAGTCTTGCTCTTGTTGCCCAGGCTGGAGTACAGTGGCGCGATCTCGGCCCACCCAAACCTCCACCTCCCGGGTTCAAGTGATTCTCTTGCCTCAGCCTCCTAAGTAGCTGGGATTATAGGCATGTGACACCATACCTGGCTAATTTTGTATTTTTTTTTTCTTTTTTCTTTTTTTAAAGATGGGGTTTCACCATGTTGGTCAGGCTGGTCTTGAACTCCCAACCTCAGGTGATCCGCCCGCCTTGGCCTCCAAAGTGCTTGGATTACAGGCGTGAGCCACTGTGCCCAGCCTAATTTTGTATTTTTATTAGAGACGGGGTTTCTCCATGGTCTTGAACTCCTGACCTCAAGTGATCCACCTGCCTCAGCCTCCCAAAGGGCTGGGAGTACAGGCGTGAGCCACTGTGCCGGGTTGTGTTGAGGCCCTTTGAAAGGTATCACAGATCCACGGAGGAGGCCATGGGTGTTGGTGATTCACTGATTTAAGGGCCATCAGAGAGGAATTTTGGGTGTGAAGGTCCCAATCTCACAAATCTGAGCTGCGTTCTCCTCCGGGGTGGGCAGGGCAGGCCCACCAGGGAGTATAAACCAGCCCTTGGGGGACAGTCATGAGTCAGAAGCACAGCGTTTGCCATCAGCTGAACAATTTAGAAAAGCTGCTACTGAAATTCAGGCCCTACTGTGGGGTTGGTGGGGTCTGGCTTTGCCTGGACGCCAGCAGGGAACATTGAAACAGGAGCCATGGACCTCCGATGATCTCAGTGTGACCTTAAGTCTTTGCTTTCCAGTGAAAGTGACAATTCACTGAGCACCTCCTTGTGCTGGGCCTCATCCTGAAGCAGGAGCAGCCTTGGGAAACGGACCTCTTGAACACCAAACTGGGAAGAAAGGGGTGATTTATTTGTCTGGGAGCAAGGTGGCATAGCTGCCTAACAGCCAAGCTCATCTAACAAAGGAAATCTCTGCCTTTATAAGGGCTCACAACTCTAGATATTACACGGGAAAGGGTCTTGAGTTTACAGCTCTAGGATTTACATGTGAAAGGGTTTTAGGCTTACAACTCCAGAATTTACATGTAAAAGGGTCTTGGGCCCTGGAGTAGGGTAAGGTACAGTGATTTAGGTGGGGGTTTGATGTGTTTACGTTAAAACAATGCCTTCCAGAAAGATTCCTCCACACCATGCCTGTGATCTATAAGAGGGTGATGAAAGGTGGCACCTGGTCTGCCAGCCTTTACTTCCCCTATTGAAATGCAATGTGGAAGTCAGGGGGGAGGTGGTCTTAAATGCTTAAGGGTGATTAAGGGTCTCCTTCCTCACTCCTGCTGGCTTCTCCAGGCTCCCTCTCCTCTCCCTTGTCACATGGCACATAAGCTGTGATTTATCCTGAGTTTACAGAGCTCAGGATCCTGTGGTTGATCAGCGTGGAGCCGGGTTTTCAGCCCAGGGCTCTCAAAACTGTCTCATGGCTTTTAGTGCGAAATCCAAATTCCTAAGGTGCCTCCAGGACCTCCGATGATCCCTGTACCTTCATCTGGGGCCCCTGTCCCTTGCCCTCTGTGCTCCAGCATGCCTGTTTTCTCTCCTTCACATATGCCCTTCTTCTTCCGGCCCCAGGGCCTTTGCACATGCCGTCCCTTCTGCCTTGAATGTTGTTGCTTCAGCCTTTCCTTCATCTGGTTAATGTCAATACATCTTTCAAGCCTCAGATTGTTTGTTTTGTTTTTTTTTTTGGGACAGAGTCTGGCTCTGTTGGCCCAGCCTGGAGTGCAGCCTTGAGATCATGACTCACTGTGGCCTCAACCTCCCAGGCTCAAGCGATCCTCCTGCCTCAGCCTCCACCCAAGTAGCTGGGACCACAGGTGTGCACTACCACACACAGCTAATTTTTTGTAGAGATAGGGTTTCATCATGTTGCCCAGGCTGGCTTGAACTCCTGAGCTCAAGTGATCCACCTGCCTTGGCCTCCAAAAGTGCTGGGATTACAGGCATGAGCCACCATACCTGGCTTGTTTTAGAGATGGGGTCTTACTATGTTGCCCAGGTTGGTCTCAAACTCCTGGGCTCAAGAGATCCTCCTACCTTGGCTTCCCAAAGTGCTGGAAGTACAGGCATGAGCCACCGCACCTGGCTTTAGAGGTGAGAGTCTTGCTATGCTGCTCAGGCTGGTCTCGAACTCCTGGGCTCAAGCGATTCTCCTGCCTTGGCCTCCCAAAGTGCTGGGATTACTGGTGTGAGCCACCTTGCCCAGCCCTAAGCCTCAGCTTTCATGTCGCTGCCTCAGAGAAGCCTTCTCAGACCCTCGGACTGGGTCAGGTCCCACGTAAACATTCTCAAGGCCAGCCCCGTCTTCTCCTTACCAGGTGAGACCCCCCTGGCCTTCCCTGGTTCGTAGGCAACTCCCCCATCAGACTGTGAGCTTCATAAAAGCAGGGACAGGGGGGCCTTTTCACAGTGAGCTCCAGGCCCCTGGCTCAGGGTAGGAGTCGTGGATGACAGTTGGAAGGGCGTGCGTGTAACCGCACCTCTGTCCTGCCACTGTGAACGCTGGCCACGGACAAAACACAGCCCCAGGTGACTGGGCCACTCGTCTCATGAGGAGTGACGCTCAATTGGTGTATTTCAGGCCTTTGCCAACCCCGAGGATGCCCTGAGACATGGAGGCCTCCAGTATTGCCGGAGCGACCCCGACGTAGAGCGCTGTCGCAGGCAAGTACTTCGGGCCCCCCGCCTGGCCACACCCCAGCATGGCCTGCCCTTCCAGACTTTCTTCTGCACACAGGGCCAGGGGGTTGGAGGATTCCCAGGGGCTGAGGTTTTCTGTGTTCCTGATCTGCTCTGACTGTTTTACTTTATTCAGTGATTTAATTTCTAATAAACTTTGTAAGACGTGGTCATGACTCACAATTACAAAGTGAGAAGGTATCTTCAGTGAAAATTCAGGCTCCCTCCTACCTCTGACCTCAAGGCACTAGCCAGTTCTACTGTCCAGGGGCAAACCCTCCGGCCAGGGGCCATGCATTTTCCCACAGAGACTTTCTGCATTTACAAACACGTGTGCTGCGCTTTTCCTGCCCTACCCCATAGACTCACCCTTTATCCACTGGTCTGTACTGTGCTATTTACAAAATTATTATTAATATGACAACAGAGATTGTTCTATGTCGGCCCACAGAGGAGCTGCATTCACTGTATTGGTGCTCTGGCATTTATGTTGCACTCTGCTGAATGTATGGCCTGTAACTTCTTTAACCAATTCCCCTCCGATGGGCATTTGGGGTCTTTCTGTGTTATGAACAGAAGACCTTGACATCTCTTTTTTTTTTTTTTCCTTTTTTATTTTTGTGACAGAGTCTTGCTCTGTCGCCCAGGCTGGAGTGCAATGGCTCACCGCGTTCAAGCAATTCTCTTGCCTCAGCCTCCCAAGTAGCTGGGACTACAGGCACGAGCCACCACACCTGCCTAATGTTTGTATTTTTAGTAAAGATGGGTTACACCATGTTGGCCAGGCTGGTCTCAAACTCCTGACCTCAGGTGATCTGTCTGCCTCGGCCTTGCAGAGGGCTGGGATTACAGGCTTGAGACACCATACCCGGTGTCAACACCTTTTTCTTTTCTTTTTTTTTTTTTTTTTTTTTTGAGACGGAGTTTCGATCTTCTTACCCAGGCTGGAGTGCAATGGCACGATCTCGGCTCACCGCAACCTCCGCCTCCTGGGTTCAGGCAATTCTCCTGCCTCAGCCTCCTGAGTAGCTGGGATTACAGGCACGCGCCACCACACCCAGCTAGTTTTTTGTATTTTTAGTAGAGACGAGGTTTCAACATGTTGACCAGGATGGTCTCGATCTTTCGACCTCGTGATCCACCCGCCTAAGCCTCCCAAAGTGCTGGGATTACAGGCTTGAGCCACCGCGCCTGGCTAACACCTCTTTCATTTGTCTTTGTGGTTGTGTGTGAGCAAAACCACAGGGTGCAACAAAATAATAAAATGTATATATATATGCACACACACACACACATACATATATATTTAATTAATTAATTTTTTTTCCTTATGCTTGCCTACAGGAAAATAATTTATTTTTATTTTTATTAAAAAAATTTTTTTTTTTTAAAGACAGAGTTGCACCATGTTGGTCAGGCTGGTCTTGAACTCCCGACCTCAGGTGATCCGCCCGCCTTGGCCTCCAAAGTGCCTGGATTACAGGCGTGAGCCACCGTGCCCGGCCTATTTATTTTTTGAGACGGGGTTTCACCATGTTGGTCAGGATGGTCTCGATCTCTTGACCTCGTGATCCACCCGCCTCGGCCTCCCAAAGTGCTGGGATTACAGGCGTGAGCCACCGCTCACAGTTCTAGTCACAGTTCACACTTGCATCTCTCTCCTCTTTGTTTTCTGAATCTAAATATTTTTCATAAATTAGGCATGCATTAGGTACACCCAATTTGGAGTTCTGATTTTCTTTTAACATTTCACAAACACTTTCCATGTTGGTATATGTTAGTCAAAAAATGGTTCTTGGCCAGATGCGGTGGCTCCTGCCTGTAATCCCAGACGTTGGGAGGCCGAGGTGGGCAGATCACTGAGGTCAGGAGTTCGAGACCAGCCTGACCAACATGGCAAAACCCTGTCTCTACTAAAAATACAGAATTTAGCCAGGCATGTGGCACATGAATGTAGTCCCAGCTACTTGGGAGGCTGTGGCAGGAGAATCGCTTGAACCCGGGAGGCAGAGGTTGCAGTCAGCCAAGATCACACTACTGTACTCCAGGCTGGGGAATACAGTGAGACTCCATCTCAAAAAAAAAAAAAAAAAATTCTTAAAAAAACTGGCTTTGTAAAAAAAAAAAATCCCATCAGAGACTAAATGTTAATTTCACATAATCACACTCAATATTAAAATTTTTCGGCAGTTTCTGCTCTGCCGTTTTTCACCAGTGAACTGGAGAGTGAGGTTGGGGGTCATCAGAGGAGCTTGAAGGGGAAGTGGGGAGGATGGGGAGCTGGATGGGCTGAGGCTGGAGACAAATGGTTGCACAGGTCTCAACACATTCCCCAGCGTCACAGGCGGAAATGGGTGGGGCACTGTCATTTAAATAATATAAATGTCTTTCACTTGAAAGAAAGTCTGTGGGTTTTTTTCTTATGTTTTTCTTGGCCATTGACAATAATATGCATACTTGTGGTTTTTAAAAAAATTACAGACATGTGTCATGTAGGAAGTGAAATTCCTTGCTATTTCACCCTTTCAAATCATTCATATGAGATCTGTTTGTCCTTTAATGAGCACCTACTATGTTCAAGACACTCTGTTAAACACTAGCTGTACTTGCATGAACAAAAGTCCTCTCCATACGTGACTCCCATTGGTGACTCTTGTTGGCTTGTCTCATCCCTCCTGGACAGTGGAGAAGGACGGGATGAGCTGTCCAGGCAGCAAGCAGCCAGGACGGTGGGTCACCCAGGGCCAGCTCACAGCAGCCACCACCAGGATGTGTTTTGGCTCCTCCAGTAGCCAAGCTTTCATGTGGCATAGGAGCGGTCAAGTGGCCTCACAGACACTTGGTTTATTTTTACTGGCTGGGAGAGACAATAGACCCGGGACGTGCCAAGATATTTCCAACCAACCAATCATCCTTTTTCTTTTTTGGGACAGAGTTTTGCTTTTGTTGCCCAGGCTGGAGTGCAATGGCACGATCTCGGCTCACTGCAACTTCCTCCTCCCGGGTGTGAGCGATTCTCCTGCCTCAGCCTCCCGAGCAGCTGGGATTACAGGCGCCTGCCACCACACTCAGCTAAATTTTGTATTTTTAGTAGAGACGGGGTTTTACCATCTTGGCCAGACTGGTCTTGAACTCCTGACCTCAGGTGATCCACCTGCCTCGACCTTCCAAAATGCTGGGATTACAGGTGTGAACCATTGCGCCCAGCCCAAAATAACCCATCATCGGTCGTACTGGGGCTTAAATGGTTGAAATTCAACTCAGCACTTTGTGAGTGCCTTTTGTCTAATAATACTTCATAGCCATTTGGTGAGGATTTATTGGAGGCTGGCCGTACACTGGGCCCGTGCCAGATCTAGGGAGTGCCTGGGTCCCCTGGGCCCCTCATCTGCCACCTGATTCCACAGAACATCACAGAAACTCGAGAGTGCAGAACTAAGAGAATTCTATATCCTGTGTCTGCTACGGGAGAACAGGCTGGAACCCGAAGGAGAGACCACCTGGAAGCAAAAGTGGGTTAAATATTAGACCAGGGTTTATGGTGTGATTCGAGTCACCTTCTGTCAAATAGGAAAGCACTCGAGACTTGGTTCTTGGGCATAAATCTGCCTTGCAGGTTAGCACATGCTAGAGTCCAAGAGTGAGCCCAGCTCTGGGAGAAGCCAGGGACCAGCCGCCTTTTCAGGATACCTCTCCAGAGTTCCTGGCAACGTGCGTTTTGGCCAAAACCTGAGGTTGTGTGTATGGAACGACATGGAGGGGGTTATCTTGCGGTCCCAAAGAAGGGAGGCAGACACGTGACCTAAGCCGGAGTATCTCTGTTTGGAATGGATAGACTTCAACTGAGGGAACTGGTTTGTCAGGAATTTAGGTTCCAAAATGTCAGCCCTAGAAGTCCCTTAGATGTCATCCAGCATATTCATTTGTACATAGTGAACTGCAGGCCCAGAGAGCGAGAGAGACTTGCCCGAGGCCATGGGCTAATGAGCACCACAGCAGAACTGGAGGGTTCCAACCTAACACTCACTTCCCACCATGAAGTGCTTAAAAAAAAGTGTTTTTTTTTTTTTTGAGATGGAGTTTTGCTCTTGTTGCCCAGGCTGGAGTGCAATGGTGCCATCTTGGCTCACTGCAACCTCCACCTCCTGGGTTCAAGCAGTTCTCTAGCCTCAGCCTCCTGAGGAGCTGGGATTACAGGTGCCCGCCACCACACCTGGCTCATTTTTATATTTTTAGTAGAGACGGGGTTTCACCACGTTGGTCAGGCTGGTCTCGAACTCCTGACCTCAGGTGATCCGCCTGCCTCAGCCTGCCAAAGTGTTGGGATTACAGGCATGAGCCACTGCACCCGGCCTTTTTTAATTAATTAATTAATTAATTTATTTATTTTTGAGACAGGATCTTTCTCTGTCGCCCAGGCTGGAGTACAGTGGTGGAATCCTGGCTCAATGATGCTGTGACCTGGGCTCAAACGATCTTCTCACTTCAGCCTCCTGAGTAGCCAGGACCACAGGCACATGCCACCATGACTGGCTAATTTTTAAATTTTTCTTACTGTAGAGATGAGATTTTTGTTCTGTTGCTCAGGCTGACTCCAAACTCCAGGGCTCAAGTGATCCTCCCATCTCAGCCTGGGATGACAGGTGTGCACCACTACACGCAGCCCATAAAGCCCTTTTTATTCATTTGGCCTGGGCATCTGAGGGCAGTCAGGAAGTCTGGCAGAGCCAAGAAGGTAAAGAGAGCTTTAGCGACGGTGTCCAGGACAGGGCTCATGATGGCGATGGAGGAGATGGTGGCTCCACTAAAATCTCCCTACTCAGCCGAGCATAGTGGCTCATGCCTGTAATCCCTGCACTTTGGGAGGCTGAGGTGGGCAGATCACTTGAGGTCAGGAGTTTGAGACCAGCCTGGCCAACATGGCAAAAACTCATCTCTACTAAAAAATACGAAAATTAGCCGGATGTGATGGCACTTGCCTGTAATCCCAGCTCCTTGGGAGGCTGAGGCAGGGGAATCACTTGAACCTGGGAGGCGGAGGTTGCAGTGAGCCAAGACAGCACATTGCACTCCAGCCTGGGCAACAAAAGTGAAACTCCATCTCTCTTTTTTTTTTTTTGAGACGGAGTTTCGCTCTTGTTATCCAGGCTGGAGTGTAATGGCGCAATCTCGGCTCACCGCAGCCTCCGCCTCCTGGGTTCAGGCAATTCTCCTGCCTCAGCCTCCTGAGTAGCTGGGGTTACAGGCACGCACCACCATGCCCAGCTAATTTTTTGTATTTTTAGTAGAGACGGGGTTTCCCCATGTTGACCAGGATGGTCTCGATCTCTTGACCTCATGATCCACCCGCCTCAGCCTCCCAAAGTGCTGGGATTACAGGCTTGAGCCACCGCGCCTGGCCCGAAATTCCATCTCTTGAACCCAGGAGGTGGAGGTTGCAGTGAGCCAAGATCATACCATTGTACCCTAGCCTGGGTGACAGAGATTCTGTCTCCAAAAAAACAAGCAAAAACGATTTCCCTATCCAGTGTCCAGGAGTATTGTAAGTGCTTTCCAGAGATCCACTCACTTGGCACTCTGAGAACCCTGGCACTCTTGGCCCTGCTCCTGAGGCTGCCCTCTCCGAGAAGGCGATGTCACTGTTTTGTATACCTGCCTTTGAAATGAAGCAAGTACTGCATTGTGTCAACCCTGAGACAATTCAAGGAAATTGCTACCGTGGGTGCCGGCAGGGCGCGGGGGAGAGTAGAGGAGACCGTGCAGAGCAGCCAGCAGCTGTCCCCGTCCTGGACGTCTGGGGGTCACTGTCCTCACCGCTGTCACCGATGCAGTAAAATGCAGCTGGTGTGGAAGAGTCTGGAGGGTGAGGCAGGCCTGATGCTGCAGCAGACGCTACAAGTCCGGTCTAGTAGGAATCTGCTTTGGGTGGCTTTCACCTTAAAAAAAGTGGTTATTATTTGAATGATGCATTTCACCCAAGCATGTCTGTGGTACGTGCCTGCCTCCATGTCTCTCGGTTTGGAGCCTGGAGGTGGGAGGAGGGTGGCGAGCTTCCTTCCATCATGCCCGATGTCTCCATTGCTCCCTGGCCCCAGCACCCCTGCGGCCTCGGAGGGGCCCCACTGTGGTTTGGGACAGACCAGACGAGGGAGGGAGGGCTGGGCCAGCCTCAGGGGCTCAGAGTCAGAGCTCCTGACCACCTCTCCTACCACGCTGGTGACCTCTCTCTGGATCGCTGCCCAGTGGCTGGAAATAGAAGGGGGGGGGCTCAGTCCCCACTACACGGTTTCTGCAAGGCCTGCTCCTCCCCAGCTGGCAGGAGACACGCCCCGCAGAGCGGGACCCACGTCTGCCACGAACTTCCCCACTGCTTGTTCCCCAGCTTTGCCCTTCACCCACTCTTCAGGGTTTGGCTGTGTCTGTGAACTGCCTGTCCTGTGATTCTCTTAACCGCTTCCTAAACATTGACGTACTCTTAAAATATCAACACATACTTTAAGGCATAGCCGGGGGAATGGGTTGCACACGCTAGCCGTGCTTTTCCTGAAACTTTCAAGTAAACATTACAAAATTCCTCATCCAGGTGGCACTCTCTTATGAATCACTGTGACAGGCAGACCTCATTTTGGGACATAATCGAAAACGGGTTTTCCAAAGGCGTCCCTCTAATCAGCGTGCAGGGGGATTTGGGCACCCACAGCTTCAGTTCCAGAGGATGGAGTGATTTTTTTTTTTTAGACAGAGACTCACTCTGTTGCTCAGGCTGGAGTGCAGTGGCATGGTCTTGGCTCACTGCAACCTCCACCTCCCAGGTTCAAACGATTCCCTGCCTCAGCCTCCCGAGTAGCTGGGATTATAAGCACACACCACCACGTCCGGCTAATTTTTTTTTCCTGTACTTTTAAGTAGAGACGGGGTTTACCCATGTTGCCTAGCTTGGCCTCAAACTCCTGGCCTCAAGTGATCTATCCGCCTTGGCCTCCTAAAGTGCTGGGATTACAGGCGTGAGCCACCATGCCTGGCCAAGGATAGAGTGATTTTGGAGGAACACTAGGCGTTTTTCCTCCTGAGTCCTGATAAGGGGCTCACTTGACTGGGAGGTGGTCCCAGCCTTTGGTTTCTCCCTCTCCTTTCTTTTTGTTTTTTGGAGAGGGAGTTTCTTTTTCTTTTCTTTTCTTTTGTTTTTTTTTAATTTGAAACAAAGTCTCACTTTGTCACCCAGGCTGGAGTGCAGTAGCACGATCTTGGCTTACTGCAACCTCCACCTGCTGTGTTCAAGTGATTCTCCTGCCTCAGCCTCCCAAGTAGCTGGGATTACAGGTGCATGCCACCACTTCCTGCCAATTTTTTTTTTTTTTAGTAGAGATGGGATTTCATCACGTTGGCCAGGCTGGCCTCGAACTCTTGACCTTATGATCCGCCTGCCATGGCCTCCTAAAGTGCTGGAGCATGAGCCACTACACCCTGCACCTGGCCCAGAGGGCGTTTCACTCTTGTTGCCCAGGCTGGAGTGCAATGGTGTGATCTCGACTCACCACAACCTCCACCTCTCAGGTTCAAGCGATTCTCCTGCCTCAGCCTCCTGAGTAGCTGGGACTACAGGCATGCACCCCCACACCCAGCTAATTTTGTATTTTTAGTAGAGACAGGGTTTCTCTATGTTGGTCAGGCTGGTCTCGAACCCCTGATCTCAGGTGATCCACCTACCTTGGCCTCTCAAAGTGCTGGGATTACAGGTGTGAGCCACCGCGCCAAGCTCCTCCCTCTCTTTCCTTCCCTGAGGGCAGTACCCCAGGATCTACCCAGAGCCAGCCTCTCTCTGACGTAGGCAGGCCACGGTGTTCCCTGCCCCTGGGTGACCTGCCCTGCCAGACTTGCTTTTCTTGTTTCTGGGTTGCAAGGTCAGGATCTGACAGAAAAGGAGAAGAAAGGTTCGTGTCAGTCTTAGGCTATGGGGACCCTCATGCCGGGTGCTGTGTCCTGAGTTTGGCCTGAGAAAGATCGAGGCCCTGCTGGGTTTACGGGAGTTTTGTACACTCGGATTGACATCCTCCTCCACTCTCATTCTGCCTCGCTCCCTCTGTGCACCGCCCTGCAGCCACGGGCTCACCTGCTTGCACATTGAACACGCTGTGCTTGCTCCAACCTCAGGACCTTTGCACACACCAGTCTTCCTCCCTGGAAAGTGTTTCCCCTGCAGGGCCAGCTTCTCATCATTCAGGCTCGCGCACAGACGTCTCCTTCCCTGCCCATCCCCGCCCCAGGCACACTGCAGAGCCCCCTACAGTGCTGGGTAAACAAGCACTCCGGGCCCCCTCTCTGCCCACTCCGTGCCCTGCCCGCTTTCTTCCGGTCAGGCCCACACACGGTTTTGCCCTGGTCCAAGACTCCGTCTTGCCAGTGGGAAGGAAGAGGAGGACCGAGCAGTGGGTCCCCACACAGGTGCTGCTAGTCTGGGCCTGACCGGAGGACACGGTGTTATTGGTGGAATGCATTTCAGCGAAGGCCTGGAGCAGGAAGGCCCGGAGAACGCTTCTGTTCCTGCACCTCACGCTTGGGGCCTGTCCCTGGGGGAGGCCATGCCCTGGGCACCGAGTTCCTGTTTATTTGCGCTTCCCATGTGGCAATCGATGGCTTTAGTTGCTCATTCAGTCTCTAGTTTATGGGACTCAACCTCCCCACCTTTCATAAAGGAAGCCAGCCATTAGTGGGAGTCACAGAAAATGTGAAGCAACTCTCGGCAGAAGTGGGTCAGCTTTCCTTGTGGGTCATTTATTTATGGTGGGGTTAGACAGAGCCCTACTCCCCACACCCGCCACACATACGCACATGATTGATTACTTTCAACAAAAAAAAGAGGCAGGACAGCATGTCGAAAATGAAGAGCTTCACCAGGGGCTGGCCGGCGGGTGGCTCCAGTGAGTGGAAGCGGATCTTGCGATGACTGTCCCTGAAAAGGAGGGGTGGAACTTACATTTAGGGGCAGGAAACAGCCCAGCATTCATGTCAAACGCCCGCTCTTGGGCTCTAGCTTCTACTTGGGAGGGGCCCAGGAACCTGCATTCAGAAGGAGGGTGAGGCCGGGCACCGTGGCTCACGCCTGTAATCCCAGCACTTTGGGAGGTTGAGGCAGGCGGATCATCTGAGGTCGAGAGTTCGAGACCAGCCTCACCAACATGGAGAGGTGAATACTAAATTAGCCAGGAGTGGTGGCGCATGCCTGAAATTTCAGCTATTCGGGAGGCTGAGGCAGGAGAATCGCTTGAACCTGAGAGGTGGAGGTTGCGGTGAGCTGAGATCACGCCATTTGCACTCCAGCCTGGGCAACAAGAGTGAAATTCTGTCTCAAAAAAAAAAAAAAAAAAAAGGAGGGTGACCTCAGGCCTGCCTCAGAGAAGCCCTGCCCTGGAGGTAAAGGGCACAAAGTCGAGTCAGAACTTGGTTCAAGTCCCAGCTCCTCCGCTCGCTGCTCTATAAAGCACTCAGCACCTCTGAGCCCCACTTTTCCTGCCTGGTGTCCAAGGACTAGAGAGGAAGACGGAGGGGAGATTGCGGCAGGAGCGGGGTCCTGGCAAGCCAGGGTAAGAGCTGTGGTGAGGGCATCAGAGGCCAGCAGCCCTCTGTGACTCCCGGGCCATGCTGGGGCCTCTGTCTCAGCTGCTTGCAAGCCTAAGCCTGGAGCTGCTCTTCTTCTGGACTCTGGGGTCGGCATCTCCTTGACCTGGTCATGAATGGATTTGAGAGTCTGGGATGCTTGAAGTGGCCCCCAGTGGGTCAAGGCCTTGCCAGGGCAGAGCACCCCAGCTTCCATGACACTCTCACAAGGGCCCATGTCCCCAAAGCTAACTCCTGGCTAACCACACCCCTGTTGTCTCCCCAGGGCCCACCAGAACGACATGGAGACCATCTACCCCTTCCTTTTCCTGGGCTTCGTCTACACCTTTCTGGGTCCTAACCTTTTTGTCGCCTGGATGCATTTCCTGGTCTTCCTCCTGGGCCGCGTGGTGCACACTGTGGCCTACCTGGGAAAGCTGCGGGCACCCATCCGCTCCGTGACCTACACCCTGGCCCAGCTCCCCTGCGCCTCCATGGCACTGCAGATCCTCTGGGAAGCGGCCCGCCACCTGTGACCAGCAGCAGATGCCTCCTTGGCCACCAGACCATAGGCCAAGAACTGCTGTGGCTGCACCTGGGGACTTGTTCCTTCCAGATTGTGGTGGGCCCTGAGTCCTGGTTTCCTGGCAGCCTGCTGCATGCGGGGGGGTCTCTGGGCCCAGTGGGCCTGTGTGTGAGTGCGCATATGCGTGTGTATGTGTGTCTGTGTGTGTGTTTCTTAGCCCCTTGGATTCTTGCATGAAGTGCTGATGGAAACCATTCCAGGACAGATTGTGAAGATTGATAGAAAATCCTTCGGCTAAAATAACAGAGTATCAAAAACATCACTCCCTCACCCTCCCTAAGAGTGAAAATCGAGAAGGGAGACTCTATTTAAGATTCCCAAATCAAGTGATCATCTGAATCCTGGGCTAAGAATGCAGACTTTTCAGACTCACCCCAGAGATTCTGGCCCAGCCAATCTGGATTTTTTTCCCCCCAAGACAGAGTCTTGCTCTGTTGTCCAGGCTGGAGTGAAGTGGTACAATCTCGGTTCACTGCAGCCTCCACCTCCTGAGTTCAAGTGATCCTCCCACCTCAGCCTCCTGAGTAGCTGGGATTACAGGGGGGTGCCACCATGCCCGGCTAATTTCTGCATTTTTAGTAGAGACGGGGTTTCGCCATGTTGGCCAAGTTGGTCTCAAGCTCCTGGCCTCAAGTGATCCACCAGCCTTGGCCTCCCAAAGTGTTGGGATTACAGGTGTGAGCCACCATGCCAGGCTGCCATCTGGAGTTTTAAGAGGCTCCCATGTGAGTCCCTGTGATGGCCGGGCCAGGAGGCCCCTGCCAGTCCTCTGTGGAAGCAAGCTGGGGTCTTGGGGTCCTGCATGGTGGAAGCTTAGTGAGCCAAGGGCAGGGCTGGCTCCTCCGCCCTCTCTGACGCTTCCCTTGGCCTTGGCTTTGGGTGTCTTTGCTGGCTGGAGTCTTCTCTCTGGTTCAGGGGTGGGTTGGAGGGGCCACAGGAAGCTTAGCCTTCTCCCAAGGCTTGAGTCTCTCCAAAGGGCTGTGGGTGGAGGACAGGGAGCTTTGGGTGATGAGCCACTCAAAGGAATTTTCTGGTCCCTTCAGTATCTTCAAGGTTTGGAAACTGCAGATGTCCCCTCAATGGGGAATCCGTGTGTGTGTGTGTGTGTGTGTGTGTGTGTGTGTGTGTGTGTTGCGGAGGGGAGTGGGGGGTGGGGGGGGTGACATGTGTTGTGTGTGGTGTGTGTGTGTGTGTGTGTGTTGCAGAGGGGAGTTGGGGGTGGGTGGGGGGGTGACATGTGTTGTGTGTGGTGTGTGTGTGTGTGTTGCGGAGGGGAGTGGGGGGTGGGTGGGGGGGTGACGTGTTGTGTTGTGTGTGGTGTGTGTGTGTGTGTGTGTGTTGCAGAGGGGAGTTGGGGGTGGGGGGGTGACATGTGTTGTGTTGTGTGTGGTGTGTGTGTGTGGTTTCTCCTAGACCCGTGAACTGAGATGTGTGGTTTTTGTTCATTAAATGGAAGTGTCTGTGCAGCTCGGCCCGGCACCTCATCTTGGGTTGCTCGTTCCTGGTGTCCCCTGCTGCCCGAGCTGGCCTGATGCTCCAGCGCGCTGGGCGTGGTGACCGTCTTGGCGCAGACACAAACACCCCTGACTGGGCGTCAATCACACGGCAAACAGCAGTCTCCTGGCCTCCCGGGGGACGGGGAAGGTGGCATCTGGCGAGGGGAGCCGGGAGCACCCGAATCCTGCTCTGGCCAGGTCGCCCCTCCCTGCAGGGCTGCTCAGCCTGCGGGCGGCCACCATCAGCTCCTTCCGAGGCTCCGGGACCAGGGCCAGGCTCCCAAAGCCCCCGTGTGGAGCCCCTGGGCTGCACCCCGAGGCCCCGGCTCCCGCTCCGGGCCGAGAGGGGAAACACTGCCCCCTGGTGGTAAGGGGGGGCGCCTCTGTTTCGGGCCGCAGCCGCCTGCGGGAGAGAAACCAGAAGGGCGCCGTCCAGTATTGAGCGCTTACTGTTTGCTAAGCGTTGGGCTAGGCATGCTAGTTGGATTATTTTCACCTAATCCTTCAAACAGGCTGGGTGGGTTGGCTTACGTCTGTAATTCAAGGCGCTCTGGGAGCCCGTGGTGGGAAGATCTGAGCCTAGGGCAGGTTTGAGACTAGCAGCAGATCCCCTTTCTACCAAAAAAAAAAAAAAAAAGAATTAGCCTGGTGTAATGGTGTCTTCCTGTGGTCCCGGTTACTCGGGAGGCTGAGGCGGGAGGATCACTAGAGCCTGCTGGGAGGTTGAGGCTGAAGTGAGCCGAGATCACACCACTGTACTCCAGCTTGGGCAACAGAGGTAGAGCATCTCAAAACAAAACAGAAATTCCCTAAAAATTCACTGAGCTCCTGACAGCAGCCCGGACACCATCCTGGGTATCCTAAAACAATCTGAGGGGGGAGGCATTTCTGCTTTTTAGATGAGGGAGGCGAGGCTCACAGGAAGGAGGCTGATGGTGGGGGGTCTCCTCACAGGAGAGCAGTGACTTGCCCACTGTCCCTGGGCTGGGACACTGTAAGGCCGGAGGGAGGACAGACCCCAGGGCACGGGCCATCCAGGGGGTGAGCCCAAGGTGCATTTTTATATTTTCCTTCCTGGGGAAAGAGAGGTTCTGTGGGCTAAATACCCTGTGGGAACCCACGGGACCCGGGTGAGCAGGGGCATCGGGTGCCCATGGCAGTGGGGCATGAACCTGGAGCTTGGGTGATAGAGGTGGCCCTTGATGCGATAGAGCCCAGAGACCATGGGACCACAAGGTCCTCTCCTTGGCACCGCCCCTGTTCTACCGGCTTGCGAGTGCCTCTTTAGGGTGGGGTGGCGCCCAGCGCTGGGGTGGTAACCTCGTCCTGCCCTTTGGCCCCCCACAGCTCCGGCCTGGGATGGGCAGCTCGGGCAGGACAGCTTCTGCGACAACCCCAAGCGCTCAGTGCCCCATGGAGGCAAATGGGGGCTGTCTAACCCCTGCTGCGCAGAGGCTGCCTGGGGAGGTGGCTACTCACCTGCGGTGGGGGGTGGAAGACCGGTTTTGAGGGGAACATCCAAGCCAAGAAAGCGAGGAGCAAAGAGGAGAGCTCAGCACCCCTGAGCTCATTCCCCAAACCCCTCCGTCCTGAGGCTGGGAAATGGAGGGGCAGTGGGGAGAGTGGGGAGGGGAGATGGGAGGGGGTGTGGGGGCGGGGAGAGGGAGTGGGGGTGGGGGGAGGTATGGGGTATGAAAGGGAGGCAGGGAGGTGTGGGGAAGGGGGGGATATGGAAGGGAGGGGTAGGGGTGGAGTGGGTGTTGGGGTGGGGTGGGGGATGATTGGGCATGGAAGGGAGGCTTGTGGTGGAATGGGGTGGATGTGGATGGGGGAGCAGTGGGGTATGGAAGGAAAGCTTGGGATGGGGTGGGTTGGGGATGGGTGGGGGAGCGGTGGGGTATGGAAGGGAGGCTTAGGGTGGGGTGGGGTGGGTTGGGGGTGCGTGTGGGGAGTGCTGGGGACTGCAGGGAGGTGGGGGTGGGGGCAGGTGACATAGAAAGGAGATGTAGGTGTGGGAGGGGTAAAGGGATCAGCAGTGTGGCATCACTGGAGCCTCTGGCCCTTATCAGGGAGTTTGGGGCTGTGGGTCATGCCAGGGTGGGCTTGGCATGGCTGGCTTTGTTTCCTAAGGGACCTCTGGCTTTGCCATGGGGAGGGCAGAGAGGGGTGGACAGCTGGGCAGTGGACACAGTGGGCAGTGGTGTGACCCTTGCTTCTCCAGTGGCTCAGACAGTGCCCTAGCTGCTCACCCAGGAGCTGGAGGACCCAGGTATGGCGGAGGGAAGGGAGGGGCAATACCCAGGATGGTATGCTGGCTGCTGTCAGGGGCCCAGTGAATTTTTTAAGGGAGAGGAGACGCTGGAGGGCTGTGCTGCTCCCGCCCAAGATCAGACCCCACCCTCAGGAAGGGCAGGGCCAGGGAGACGCCTCCTGGCACACAGCCAGGGCCCCAGAGAGCCCCTGGCAGCCTCCAGGCAGCAGCAGAACACAGTGGGCCATCGAGGCAGGGAGGGCATCTCATGGTTTTCTGTACTCTTTTCTTTTTCTAAGAGTTGCCCGGGGCCAGGTGTGGTGGCTCACGCCTGTAATCCAAGCACTTCGGAGGCCAAGGCGGGCAGATCACCTGAGGTCGGGAGTTCAAGACCAGCCTGACCAACATGGTGAAACCCCATCTTTAATTAAAAAAAAAAAAAAAAAAAAAAAAGAGTTGCGCGGGGGTCTCGCTCTACCCAAGTCGGAGAGCAGTGGCGCAATTGTGCCTCACTGCAGCCTTGAATTCCCAGGCTCAGGCAATCCTTCCACCTTAGCCTCCCGAGTAGCCGGGACCACAGGCGTGTGTGCCATGCATGGCTAAAGCACCTCAGGGTGGATCGCATCTTCTGACCTGCCCAGAGGCAGTGCCAATTGGCACCAAGTGCAAGATGACCTCAGGCACCCATCTTCCTCCCGAACTGCCCAGACCTAGATCAACCCCTGGGGGCTGTCTCCTCTCTCCTGACCCTGGAGCTGGGGGCACTGGGAAGGGTGGGCCTTGGCTGTCTATGGTCTAGGGGGCAGAGAGCATGGAGCAGAAACTGGGGGGGCCCAGAGCCTCGGTTCAGGGAGACAGGTGAGGACTTTTTTCTCCTGAGCACAGTGGATGGGGTCCGGGTCCAGGCCTGGGAAGCTGAAGCCGCCCTAGCTGGGGCCCACTGTGTGGGGCATCTTCTCCTGAGCTCTGAGAGGGCAGGGGTGCCAGAGCCGAGGCGGATTCATGTAGACCCAAGGCCCAGGAAACAGGATAGCAATCTGATATGCCAATGAGATCTCATGTTACAGAAGCCTTCGTTCCCGGCTGGGCGCGGTGGCTCACACCTGTAATCCCAGCACTTTGGGAGGCCGAGGTGGGCAGATCATGAGGTCAGGAGTTCAAGACCAGCCTGACCAACATGGTGAAACCCCATCTCTACTAAAAATACACGTATCAGCCAAGCATGGTGGTGCATGCCTGTAATCGCAGCTGTTCGGGAGGCTGAGGCAGGAGAATCGCTTGAACCCAGGAGGCGGAGGTTGCTGTGAGCCAAAGTCATGCCATTGCACTTCAGCCTGGGTGACAGAGTGAGACTCTGTCTCAAAAAAAAAAAAAAAAAAAAAAAGAGGACTTCATTTCCACCCTGCATGCCTTCTTAGGAGGAAGCCCAAGGCAGGTGATGGCAGCTGTGCCCTGGTGCGTGAGGACCCTGGGGTAAGGATAAGAGCAGGCAA